ATGGCTTTTGTACTTCCTGCAGACATGTAGTAATGTCTATATTGGCTCATAAAATTTTAATCTGAGAAACAAACAAATGCTTTGGAAATGTTTCAGTTGCTTTAGAAACAATAGTGCCTGCCTGGATCCCCTTAGTTTGAAAATATTTGCCATTGCTGTTTAAATACCTATCACTGTGGTGAAGCTTGCATTGATCCTTTTCCACAAGTATTAAACTGCCAAGATGTGAATATGCAAAGCCTTTTGGAATCTATAATAATGGTACTTCTACTGGGGAGAGTGTAATATTTTGGACTGCTGTTTTTCCATTAATGAGGAGAGCAACAGGCCCCTGATTACAGTTCCAAAGTAATAAGATGTTAATTATAACTCAGCCAGAAAGTACATGTCTCCTATTGGGAGGATTTGGTGTAGTAAATACTAAACTGCTAGCCTAGTATTATGGAGATGAACATGATGTAATTTGCAATAGCAGAATAGTTAATGAATGAAACTATTTCTTATAACTTATGTTTATTTTGAAAGTTTAGCCTGCCTTAAAACTAGAGATCAACTTTCTCAGCTATGAAAGCTGCTTCTAGCCTTTCAAAAAAGTTCATACTTTGTAAAATTGCACAGTAAGCATTTATTTGCCAGGCCTTTTTTGAACATTATTCTCAAATTATAAAGTATTCCTATGTTGCTTTAATATTTATTACAATAAAAAGGGTTTGAAGTATAGCTGTTCTTTAGGCATAAAATACCCAGCTAGGACCATTACTGCCAGACAGAAAAAAAATCATTGAATGGCCATTTCCCTACCTAAAAGATGTCTCAATCTGAATTTATTTGGCTACACTAAAGAATGCAGTATATTTAGTTTTCCATTTGCATGATGTGTTTGTGCTATAGATGATATTTTAAATTGAAAAATTTGTTTTAAATTATTTTTACAGTGAAGACTGTTTTCAGCTTTTTATATTGTACATAGTCTTTTATGTAATCTACTGGCATATGTTTTGTAGACTGTTTAATGACTGGATATCTTCCTCCAACTTTTGAAATACAAAACCAGTGTTTTATACTTGTACACTGTTTTAAAGTCTATTAAAATTGTCATTTGACTTTTTTTCTGTTAACTTACATTGTTTTAAGGCATAACATTTTTATATCTTGGAGAATTTGTACAGCTTTGGGGACTATATTAGATGCTTTCTTCTGACCCTACATTTCTTCATTCAATATAAAACATTAGTTTAACCAGACCAGTACTTGCAGACAAACACTGATGGTGCTGATTGTAGCAGATGATGCATCACCAGTGTTTCAGAACTAATACTTCAACCATTCTAGACCAGAGGCCTTAGCAGGTAAAATGTAGGAAAAAGCAGGAAGGCAGAGCCTAAGAAGCACTTGACAAAGTCATATGACAAAGGACCAGGACTTTGGTATTCAAAATACAATAGGAATGGTGGAAATGCAGTGAATTTAAGAATCCGTGTGTTATAAAAGCCAGATTAACTGAAAATCTGTTTCCTGGGTCCTAAGTCTTGTAAGTCCTGCAGACCACATTTGGTATCAACTTTTTGAGGCTGATCTGAGAACCTACTTAGGCCATTAAAATTTTTGAGAGATTAAAGTACTATTGAAGAGGTCAGCAGTGTGCCCCTTACAATGTGTATGTTAATGAATACAGCCTTAGCTGGTGGTTTCCTGTTCCTAGTTCTGTCTTCCCAGCAACTTTCTAGGTGGATTTACTTAAAAAAAAAAAAACAAACAAAACTCTTGCTCTGGTATAGTCTGTGAATACACTAGAGAAATTACCTGTAAAATCCCATCCTTAAAAGTTATGAAATGAAGGAACATTGACATTATTCTCTATATGCACAAATTGGAAGTCAGGTAGTTCACACTCTCAAAAGAGGTATGTTCATTTAAGTGGTGAAACTGTGTACTTGGCAAGACTTAATTAAAGCCCTGTACTCAATACTATCCCTAAACCCTTTGGTTAGTGCAACACACACTGTATTTCACAGATTGTAATAGTACGTGATCTTTTTCTTTGTGGTACATAAAATGATGATGCACTTTCAGTCAATGGTGTTTCACATTATGTCTTATTTGAAAGAAGTCTCAGCTCCTGTACCTAGGAGTGTGTGTACACCAAAATCCCTCCCCGCTAGAAATGAACAAAGATCTAAATAAACCATTATTAAGCCTTCAGCTCAAGCTGGGATACTAATAGAAATATGGAGAAAAGAGTTTAATGACCTCTCCCCACTTTTGGAGTAGCTGTCAAATGGGACTGTTCAAAATCACCTGAAAACTTTTTTAAAAATATATATAGCTCGAGCCTCACCTCTTAAAAACGCAGATTTATTGGTGTAAGGTGGGGCTTATGCATAGTATTAAAAAGCACCCCCAGGTGACTGAAAAGTATAGCCTGATTTGAGAAACAGGGTTAACATTCGCTTCCTGGGGCTCGGCCTAAAGAGGAGGTAGTTGTATTAAGCAGGCTCTGTGCCCAATTTACCTCTAGAAGAAGTATTTCACCAATTAGGAAGTTTGGGCTCATTAGCAAACACTGCAAGAGCAGGGAGCTATCAAAATAGGCTGAATTCTTTTTAGGAAAGGAGAACAAAACTACCACAGGAGTTTGGGATGTCGAAAGTGTGGAAGAGGCTGAAGTGGGGGAGGAGAACAGAGACATCTATTCTTGCTCTGATTTCAGAGAGCCTACCGTACGCTCTTCAGGGGAAGACTGCCCTGTGCATATTACACTTCGATTTAAGACTTTTGTTAAACTAAACACAGTAAAATCTGTAAGGCCAGCCAAAAATCTGTTAGTAAAAATTGACCCTAACAAATGGTCCTTACGAGTGGGTCCTATGATAAGGCTAATACTGGGAGTCCAATTTAGGTCTCAGTTTTAAATACTGCATTCTGGTTTTATTTCCAATTGAAAGGAATGTCTTGGTTCTACTGCCTTATAAATTAGCCTGAACAATGGTTATTGGCTAAGATTGCTACTATAAATTAAGACAAGGGAGCTGCAAACACACTACGTATTTGTCTCTTACAAATAGATGAGTGGAGGCCAAATATTTTCATAATTAGCCAACTCAGTAATCCTAGTCCCTACAATTTAGCAAACTCAATATTTGCCTACTCTGATCTGCAAGGCTCAAGAGATTTTCCTTTTTTTAAAAAAACAAATGGCACTTTGAAAAATCTTCAGTGGTATTTTATGAATCCCCTTGCTGTGAATGCTACTCTATTACAGTCTGCAGTAACTGAGGGCGGAAAAGAGTATCAGTTACCCAAATTAAACCTTGTACGGTGTGCTCCCAGATGAGATGCTATGCCCTTGTTAAAATATGTTTGCTGAACTCTGTATTAATCCAAAGTGCCTGCTATTTCACAGTCAGCTTCATGGCATACAAGGTTCTAATGAAAAAAAGCATCTGGCACAAGTTTTTGATTTGAATAACCACTACCCTCAAGGAATGGATGCACAGGGAAATGGTACAGTATCAGGTAAATGGAAGAATTCTCATTGCTACTTTGAGGAAAATTACCTTAGGTGAGAATATTATTCTAGTGCTTCTGTCTTTGAAACAGACCAATAGCTCACCAGTTTTTCTTAAGTTAAACTGCTGAAAAGTACAGGTCCACAATCTCTTATCCAAACCTTTGAGCTTATTTGCATTTTGGAATTACAGATTCGAAAGAATTTTTTAAAGCATATTATGTAGTGCAGCCACCAATAGGGGTCATAGTCCTATTTAGTGAATACCATAAAATACCCTCAACAATTCAGATCAGGTTTTGCTGCAAACTGAGATTTTTTTTGTAGGTTTTATTTTTATTTTTTTTTGTATTTTGGAATTGTACATGAGAGATTGTGGACCTCTATAAATTTCTATGGGAACAAGCAATCCAAAATTTAAGAGATCTTCCCTAAGATATGCCCCTTTTTGAAAAATTTCGAATCTTATATGAGAACCACTGAAAGTTTAAATATTAAACCAATCTTTATTATTTAAACAGTTTTCACGGCATTTTTTAAAATAAATTTTAAAAATAAATATTTGCATTAAAGCAGAAAGTCACATGTATTGCATCAACTCACTTTTACAGTTTAATGACACGAGATAACTAAGCATCAGCACCATAAAACTGTTAAGATTTGTTTCTTAAAATTCAAAGAAATAGTTCTATGCACTGAAAATTCTGACTAAATACTAACCTGCAGCATCAATAGTTTTGAAAGCTATAACCCAGTGATTGGTTCTCATAGTAGCCAATGTTTCTGTTACTGGCAACTGCAGACACAAAGTTCTTCCATTACTAAATGTTAATTAGCTTTCTGATAAACAACTCCCCCCATCTATCAGCATCTCAGGATTCACAAAAGAGGAAAGAACTTAAAATTATTTGGTATAATTCCTATCTGTAATTTAGGTCTGCACAAAGATATTTATTCTAGCAAAAAGCAAAGACTGTTTCCACCATGCTTTTTTTTTTTTTTTTTGCTTTTTATAGATT